TATATATATATATATATATATATATATCCAGCCACTAATCTAATGGTGGTGGCACTTTACGATTAATGGTCGGGAATTAGTGTTGAACATAACGTCCTTGGTGTCATCTACAGTGACATGCCATTGTTTGAATATATGTAGATCGTTTTTATAGAGCGAAATTAGTCGTCTATGATATTCAAAGCATTGCTATGATTTCAATTTCAATAAAAATAATAGTCGATCCAATTAAAGGATATAATTTACATTTAAAGCTCTCTCCGTAAGCTGTTTTAAACGTGGTCTATTTTTAAGGTAGCCAAACTTGTTGTCGTGTGTTTTTACAAGTTCCTTCTCCCTTAATAAAGAAGTTTCAAGTTGAATATCGTTATCGCATTTAGTTTCCTGAACAACGGTGATAGCTATTCTCATGGTATAAACCAGACAGAAACAAGGTCACAAACCCTACAAAATGCAATGGTATTGCTTAGAAACAACTAATTGTTTGTCATGGAGAGTTTTGTAAATGATACAATGCTTGTCGTAAGAGCTCAGTAATGAGATTAACCATCAAATATAACTTATTAATCATTACTAATTTGTCGAAGCAAGAAGATTTACATTAAAGTACACAGTACTATTTAGAAATTTTTATCAATTAATTTTGAGCCATTATTTAGGATGTTTAGATGTCTAACAATAGGTGATATCTTGACATATGTAGAATCAAATTTCTGCTGATTAAGAAAAAAAAGAATGTTGACGTTGTATGAATCCTCAATAGCTGAAGCATTTGAAACTTTTTTAGGAAGGATTAGAGTAAATTAATCTATGAGACCCCCCCCCCCGCTATTTATTAGTTATATTTTTGTGCACCAGCAATACCAAGCGTGGGGCGCGCGTATACTCGATTCAATTTTATTACTCACCAGGAACTCTACCAGCCTACCCTCAAATTAAAATTCTTTTAGGGAAAATTAGAGTAAATTAATCTACGAGACCGTCGGCGTGGTCAAATACATCAATCGAAAGGGTTTGTCCTCTTGAGTCCAAAACTATAATTAGACCTCAAATCTATCAAGAGATACGAGCTAAAAGTTTGTACTTGAAAATAAATCGTGAGGACCGTTCTATGAGCCATTATGCCGCGACTAAAAATTCGATGAATTTAGAACTAGGAGTACTATAGGAGTTAAACATGTTAGCCAAAAGTTTGCACGTTATATAAGGCTTAAAATATTTGCTTACTTTTGGTATACGTTTGAAACATTAACTTCAAATACTATCTTTTTTTAAAATGATGGGAAATAGATTTGCTATTTTTATTTTTGTAAGTTGACACCTCGTGGGCAAATATGGAGAATTAGACTTTCAGATTTACGACGAACGCTGTATTTCCTGACTTTGCAGAATACATTCTACACCAAATTATGATATCTCTAGAATTTTTTCAACAGCGAGAAAGGACTTTCTCAAGTGTACTATGAATCTTTTTTTTTTTTTTGACGATCTGCACAAATAGCAAAACTGTTTACATGAATTCACTCATTGCCAATTTTGTCGCTATGCAAATTGTGACTGATTACTTGAGTACGGTATAAAATTACTATTCCACTAAGATTTCACATATTGTGGCTCTACTGGGCTCATGAGTGTGCAATAACGAAATCGTATATACGAAAGATTGCTAGCACACCGTTGTGCTCTAAATCACTTTTGGGACACTTAAAATAAAAGATCTAATTTAAAAAAAATAATATCACAGTTGCTGACCAAAAAAGTTTTGCTAATCATCAGGCTATTTGATGAACCATGCAAATTCAAAATAAATCATGATCTTTGTTTTAAATAATGCCAGAGGAACTCTTACCGTAAACCTGCAGTTCTCTTTCAGCTCTTTCTGTTTGGAAAGATGGCGCCTCGGCTGACACTTCACATCGGTAGGTTCCTTCTGTGTTCAAGTCCGAACTTGACAAGTATACGTTGCCTAATTTCGATTGGCTCAGCTGGATTTAAATTGTATTAAAAAATTAGTATATATACGAAGAGAAATGATCAAAAATATACAAAATACCTTAATAACTAAAACTTCTTAGAGTATTTAAATACATTAGATATTGTTTGACTTTTAGCCTTTCATAAAAAACCAATTAGGCTTAAAAAACGAAATAATTAGTTCCCAAGAAAACTTGTATAACTGAAACATATTTTCACTTGGTTTATTCACTTGAAGTATTCATTCTTTTCATTTCACTAATACTATTTTCAAACAGTTGATATGTCTACTTACATTTACATAGACCCCTAATAGGTCGTACTTCTGTCCCGGGGGATCATCACTTGGTAAGTAGCGGTAAAACTCGACGTTATTTTTGTACCATTTCACCGAGTATAAGTCGTCAGATTCCAAATCGTATGTACAGTTTAGCCACACAGGATCACCACGGCGAACAGCTGTGGGTACTTCTACCTTCTGAAGGCGAAGACCGTACACAACTAAAATAAAATGAATGTTAATAAAAATTAACGCTTGTGTATTTTGCAATATAGAGTAAAACACACACACACACATATATATATATCACAGAGTAACACATGTTACGTATTAAACAGAACTTCTGCTTGTTTGACGTATTTTCTAAATGCATCCATCGGATATGGACTATTTCCGGAATGTCACTTCAAGATTAACTTGACTCCATTTAATAGTGCTGAATTACATCTTGGAACAGTAACGCAAACGTATATATATAGGGTAATAAGGAAAGAGTATCCTATACCTAAAAAATACTATGATTTACGAATTATTTATCCTATGGGAACTAAATTTTAATAGAGGCACATTGAGAATATTAATTTCGTTTGAACATTTAACAGGATGTTAATAAAACTATAATAAAATGTGTCCAATATGAATCCCGTCATTATATATAAGCATATCAAGCATATTCCTAAATGAAACTAATGCAACCTTCAACCGTTCTGGATAGTGTTTGCACTATCTTGCACACTAACACGAAAGAAGGGGGATAAAATCAATGAAAATTTACGAGAAAGGCGATTTAGGTATGGCGTAGAAGCACCCTGCTCCTTGTCCAAACTTCCCTAAGTAAACCTAACGATTCTAAATGTGCCTTCCGTGAAATTGGGCTACCCTGCAGAGTTAGTAGTTTTTACGATATAGCAGTTTTAAATACGAATATTTTCTTCACAATAACCCTGTACAGATAGATATACATGGTCTGGGCATCTTCATTCCAAACACGATCGTTCAGACTCCAATGATAAAATATTGACTTAGGAATGAGTTGATCAATTGCATAGCGCGTGCTGGGAAATCTGAATGGGATCTATCTATACCACTTCACGAGCTTCTCCTCCTGTGAGAAATATCAATAGTCTTCTCTCTTGTGGGACTATCTCCATGCAAACTTGTGAGACCTGTATAATGAGTTTCCTCTGTATACCTTAATATTATTATTTGTAACACACACACACACACAAACTTCCTGACAATCGCCCATAGGTGGTGCTTTTTTAATTTATTGTGACTACAGTCAAACTGTAATATGTATAGTTGAACGGAAGCAAAAGCATTGAACATGCCACCACATGACGAGTCACGTGGGTGTCGTACTCTTTTTGTTTTCCGCAAGCTCATGCAATATTAATGCTTATGTTTTTTATGTGTAACTTGTCAAGGAAAATTGAGCTTTAGTCAAGAGTGCTATGATAAAAGTAATACTAATAATTATTCTATAAGTTGTATTCTTTCACATTCATAATTATTGCGCTGATCGCTACGCTAAATTTAATTAATACAGTGGAAACGATTAAAACTGGCTGTAAGCTGTTTTTTTTTATTTTTACGCTAAAATTATTTTTAGTATAGTATTAACATCCAGTCTGCGAGTCAGGGAGACATGTTTGGTTGGTTGATTCCTGAAAGAAGCTTTTCGGTATTATTTATTTTAAAATTCTGAATAAATATTTGAGTTCCTTGCAATATTTGGACTCCAAGTTGCCCACCAACGTAGCCGAATTCACAGTACTTTTCAGTCTATGAGAAAATAAAATCCATACCTCATCAAAAATTCCATACAACACACGGTAGTAGCCACATATGTTCAACAATACTGAGTCTGGCTCCTCAGTTCTAAAAAGCCATTGTCCCCGCGGATATCGTGGGATCTGGCGGTAGCGATGATCTTAAAAGGTTTAACGAAGCTTACTTGCCGTTTTAATGCTATTAAAGCGGTACCTGCCTGAACATGAACATTTCTGCTATTTTGTGCAAGAGTAACACAGTCTGATCAACATCCTAATCTCCGCATCTTCGTGGCAAAAACTATCGAGAGGCGAGTTATTTTGGCAGTTAAGTTTGGCTTTTACGAGGTTAACAGATACGGACATTTATTGGAGTGTTTTTTTGTTCTAACTTGAATACTAGAAAATGTGAAGCCCTTCTACCTCCCACCCAATTCCTCAGATTCAGCCTCATCGACTCGCAAGCTGGGTGTTAAAAGTAATATTTCATGATTTTGCTAGAAGTTGGGGATAATAATACTGCTCTTTACGGTGAAAACAATTAACGTAACTGATACCCAACACTTATTAGGTAACATAAGCACACACACACACACACACACACACATAATAGTTAGCCTACGACAACTAGAATCTCGCTAGTTTCAGTTTTAATTTAATCAAACTGTGTGCCTTATATTATACAACAATGGTTCCCAAACTCTTTTAGTCTGAGACTCCCTTGATGTGAATAAAAATAGTTTGAGCTCCTCCTCCAACCTATAACCACTGTTATTAACATTTTACGAAAGGTATGGCAAATGTAGACTAACCTGTCTTACGCTTACGTTATAGGTGCTCAACTGTGTACATAATCAGTCAGCACTCTCTCGAATCTCGTGACCGACAAAAGTGGTTGTCCCCCCAACCCTACTAGTTTAGCATGGTGATTGATAAACTGTGCCGTAGTGAAAACAATAACATCTCCTTTTCACATACTGCATCATTTAATTAAGTCAACATAATTTTTATCAGCTTATTGTTTATTTAGAATTAAAAGTAATTCAGCATCTTTGTTTTAGGCCCATTTTTGGTGACCCACCAGATAAAGTTTCAAGGCCTCTAGGGGGCCGCGGATCCCACTTTGGGAAACAATGTTATACAAGATTCATGCATGTTTAAATATTTCAAAGATCTATACTGTTTACATTCTGACCACAAATGATCCCCTTTAAAACTCTGTTAACTGTAGTTATCATTTAGAATTTATTTTAGAGCAACAACACAGAGTAACTTAAACTTGTACCGATCTGTCAAAGAAAAAAAAAGTCTGCAAGAAACGTATTATAAAGTTAACGTCAGTTTCTACCTGACTGAATTGAGGAACAAAACAGGGACAACATGCACAAGTTTCATGGCAAAACAAAGAACTTTATTTGTTCAACACAAACACAAGACAGATAGATACTTGAAAGTAGTTAAACGTGTGCACAAAGAACAGAAACTTCTTTCTCCAAGTGTTAAAAAATCTATGCCAGGAAATAATATGGATACATATGTGAACGAGAATCCAAATCTGGATAGACTGATAGACTCAACCTCTATGTACTTATTCGAATAGGGCCAAATCGTCCACAGCACATTTATCACCAACATCACCTCGACATTCCATTAGCAAAAATCGAGAAAAGTTATTTTTCAAAATACATTAGCACACGTCTAAGGAACTCCCCCAGGACGTCTTCTAGAGAAAAGTTCGGATTCAAGGGGGAAAGGATGTACCAATAAATTCATGGGGCGAAAATTATAGCTTGATGAACAATAGCAGGACCACAGATATGATGTGCACTATGTTTATTTACAGATGAAGGATAAGTTATTTACATTTGTAATGACCCTAGAAAGTGTGTGATAAGCAGGAAAATAATATCACTACATTCTAAAGCTGGTTATTTGCACGCCGTACGTTGATCACGTGCACCAAACGCATGCAAGTGGAATGTTTTTATTTTGTATGAAAAAAATATCCACTTTTCCGAACAGAAAGATATGTTAAATTTCGAGCAAAGTTTCCCTAGGGATCTCTGATCTAGCCGTCTCTAATTTTGAAATTATTATTAAAATGGGCTACTTTAATTGAATGGTTACTCTTAGAAAGCACCCACAGCTCCAAGGAGTAGAGAAAGATATTTATATCCAGATCGTTTTTAGACACGTTAACCACTGGGATGCGCTTTGCTTAAATCAAAGAAACACCTTTCACATACCACGTGCATGTATATATATGCCCCCTCCCCCAGTGGCACAACGGTATGTCTGCGGACTCACAACGCTAGAATCCGGGTTTCGCTACCCGTGGTTGGCAGAGCACAGATAGTCCATAGTGTAGCTTTGTGCTTAACTTCAAAACAAACAATGTATATATATATATATGTGAGGAAAATCTCAAAACCTTCTTTAAAAAAATCATCACAATTTCCAGTCGTAATACAAAGGTTATGACGGATTTTGCCTGTGGTAATAGCACCCAAAAGCGTTGGGGATATCCCATCTATCGGACAAAATCCAAAAAGCAGATGAGAAACCAGTTAGCAATCATGGAAAATTAATTAAGGGTACAGAGTTGAGTGCTTATACTCTCAACGTTTCAACTCTTACTGCCTTGCACTGTCTGCAGCCAGCTGTGGGAAGGCAGTTACCCTTAAAAAGATGTAATAAACTCAAAAGTAGAAATAAAAATATAGCCACCCTAACAATTTTTCTACTAAACATTACCTACCATCCTCCGCACTTAAAAGTTCTAAAAATTCCTAAAGTAGAAACAGAAAAAAGTAATGATAATAATGCTATATGCTAATTATTGAAATTGGATATTAAATTAAATGGTAAAGTACAATTGAATATTTTTGATAAAAGAAGAGCATTTAATTTTCACATCCTTGGTCTACCCACTCCCAATTGTTTAGTTCCTCGTATGATGCCAAAAAGCGCCTTTTCGTCACAATTAAAAATATCTTTAACTGTTTGTAACAACAGTAGATTCTTTGTGGATAATGTTATATTATTAATAACTAATCTAGAAAATAATGGTTATAAATACTGGCAAATAAAAAGGTTTTTTGCAAGGTTTTATAATAAATTTGAAAATATATTACTAGATAAATATTCAATGAGGAAAAACCTTCTTGTCACTAGAGGTAGCTAGCTACTTTTAATACTTAACGTTAAAATTTATTCAGTACAGCCGTGACCGGAAAGATTAACTTCAAGTACTTGGGATTGTCTTAGCTATCCTGTGCTATACTTGAATAATGTTATAACAACAAAAAATGAACTACCTACAGAACTTAAGGTGGGTTTTGTAGTTCTTATTAAGATCTAGTATAAAATTTGCCATTTTCGGAAAACGGTGGCGGTTGGGAGTAACTTATACATATAGTAGAATTATTACATTAGGGTGCTTATTAATATTATTCTACTTTAGGAATTTGTAGAAGTTTTTAATCTAAAGGAGGAGGATGGTAGGTAGTGTTTAGTAGAAATATTTTTAGGGTGGCTATATATTTGTTGCTACTTTTGACTGCAGACAGTGAAAGGCAGTAAGAGTTTTCTCGCTCATACCTCTGGTCGATTTTAAAGTTAAAGATTAACGTTATAATCGGAAACGTCCTTGAGTAAGTCGATGACATTTTACCGTATTTGAACTGGTTTTCTCCTTAATTCGCTCTAAACAATCGTTTCCGAAGATAAGAGACTGCTCTTAGTCACGACTGTACTTTCTAAATAATTATCTGTAAGTTTAGACAGTCACTGTTGCGTTATGAAAAAATATTACTAGGAGTTTTAATATTATTAAAAAATATTGTTTTTGATAAATGTATCCAGGTTTTTGGTAACAGTGACGAACTTCGAACTATAGCTTCTAAAATATATTTTATGGTTTTAATTATTTTGTAGGTAGTTCAAGAAGACCTTTATGTGATCATTAAATAGGCAAGATAAACAAGCATTAAAATCCAATGTGTGTAAAAACAAACTGCCATCTGTAGAGTGCTTTATAACGTTTTTATTACCTCAGTATATTTTAAGTTTATTTATTGTTTTATTTACGTAATATTCTAATTCTACATTAACTATCATTTTAATCGCAGATGTGTGTTCCTTCTGAATTCAAAGTCCCGACGTAAGAAATAAATATTGCAGATGGAAGGGATGGGTATTGAAAGAAATTTCATTAGAAATTTACAACATTTAGACAGGATGATATCATCATCAGGTACGAGTATATATCAGCAGACTTTGTGCATGTTGAATATCAAGGTTGTGCTTTTTCTGATTGACCCTAAATGAATCCACAGCCTTACGGTGACTATTGCCCTTTTCGTGTTCACAAAAATGTTCTGAAGGCTTCCACTGACTTTGTTGACATCACTGTCAGCTTGTGCTCAGTAATTTGTACCTGATGATGACATAAGCTTGTCGAAACGTTGAACATTTGTAATAGTTTTTCTCACTACCCATTCGAGTCCTCTCCAGACTTTATTTTCTAAAACGTGGGATCATTATAATCAACTTTTAAGTAACAAAAACGATAGTCTGTCAGCTTTAACAGCTTGGTGCATTTTATAATTACAATACTAACGTTAATTGTAACTAACAAAAAAGAGGATATTTCTAGTACATAATTATCTCACAAGTACGTAGCTGAAACTTTCGGAGTCAGTTCGGATAAACTGCTTTTTTCTGAATAGGCATGGCCTGGTGGTTAGGGTTCTTGATTCGCAATCTGCTAGTTGCGGGTTCCAATCCCCGTCTCACCAAACATGCACGCCCTTTCAGCCGCAGAGGCGTTATAATGTGATGCCAATCCCACTATTCGTTGGTAGAAGAGTAGCCCAGGAGTTGGCGTTGGATGGTAATGACTAGCTGCCTTCCCTATAGTTATTACACTACTAAATTAGGGACGACTAGCGCAGATAACTCTCGTGTAGGTTTGTGCGAAATTCAAAACAAACAAACGAAGAGGTCACATGAACCTGACTCTCCGTGGTCTTTAAAGACACACACACACACACACACACACACACACGAGTGGCATGCATTGAAATCTGGTCATTTCTAATATTAGTATTAGGTCGTCAAGAAGTAATGTC